AACTGTGGTCTTGAGAACATCATTTGTAGCCTGCAGTTTCCCTCTTCTTCACCCGAAATATGACATGTCTAAATCTTTACTGTGGGGTTGAATGGTACTTTGGAACTGAGCAAACATTTTGGACTTGTATTTGAGTAACCATAGAGACAGAAGCTTCTGTTTAGGGAGATGAATAGAAAGTGGATAAAGAGTGAATGAAAGCAGCAGGTACTGAATAATTGAAGAAGTCATTGTGTGGAGAAGTGGAGGAAGAGGAAAGAACTTAACTCAAAGGTCAAGGAAGAGACAGAAGTTAGCTTTAAGAAGGGGAATTGTTGACAGCTTCTCAGTTTAGGAACATCTGTCCAAACTCAGCTTCCAAGTTGTACCTGTCATGGTTGACAGAGTCTCCAGTTCTTTGGCAGCGGAAGGCCCCAGAGCGATGGTGTGGATGACGGCACCACTGTGTTTGACCTCCTCAAAGCAGGAACGTATTTGATCATCTTCCCCATCTGTCAGCAATATGATCTCAGAACCGGAAGTACTTTGGCTACTGGAAGTGATTACCTGAGAAAAACGGTGTGTTAATTACAGATTGTCATTTCTGAATAATTTGAGAGCACACATTTTTTTTATATTCTCTTTCTAAGCTGAATTGATACATGGAAATGAGCAGAACGCTAGACTTTTCAGCACTTTTAATCCTCTAGATATATATATTTTGGCTACTCAGTTGAGGAAGAACAAACCAATAACAGTTGCTGCCATATAGTAGCTACCTATTGAATATAGATGCTGCTATCATCCCCTGAGCACTTGATGAAGATACGAGACTCCCAGATGAATAGCATTTGCAAAATCATAGCCAAAGGTGGGTGAGCAAGATTGAATTATTTGTTATTTGACTTTCTAATGTGTTCTATCTGGTTACTATTAAAGAATTTTATGATTTTCCAAAACTGAAACCAAACCAAGCAATTTTGGCTTATCATGAAGGAAGAGGTTGATAAATTTTCAATCATATTTTCCTGACTTCTCCTACTAAGAGTATTAGCTAAGAGTCTATGTAGTTTTAGAGACCTTGGTTTTAGGTATCTTGAGAATATTTTTAAATTTCTTTTTTAAAAATATAAACTATTAGGTTTTGTCTCTCCTGAGACTTGCCCAAATTACGCCCCCCTACAGATTGTTAATGCCATGATCAAGTATATAGATTCTAGAGATCAGGTTCTGAATCCTAGATTTGATAATTGTCTTATGATCTTGAGAGGGATTTTATTACTCTAAAGTTCAGCTTCTTTTTCTGCAGATTGATCATAGTAATATTACCCAACTCCTCAAAGGATATAAGATCCTGCACCTAAAGCATTTACCACAGACAGTAATGTAGTATACAGTCAACGCATAGCTACTTTTTAATGATTTTGAAAGTGATACACTTATGTATTGATAAGATTTTGTTAAGTAAAAGCTGTTAATAATATTGAATGTAATTTGCCATCATCTGTACAGCAATAAACTTTGTGACCAAAATATAAGGTACAATAAAATTTACGAAGGGCAACACACACACCAATTTACACATGAATTTGAGTATATTTGTAATATATAGTACTCATATTTTAGAACCAAATAGGCATCATAATTATTTTCATAATAGCAAAACTTGGTAAACATTTATACATCTTACATATTTGTCACACTTAAATGAGGCACGCAATATTAATACCCATATGATCTGGGTTCAGGCAACCGATTTTCAATATTGAGTTACTTTCCCAACATCTTTTAGATAATTCGCAGTAGAGTGAGCACCTCAGGTTTCTAAAGCCAGTCTGGTTTTTGACAAACGGGAGCCACAAAGGAAGCTGAGAGAGACTGTGAACCAATGGTCTGCACAGAGCAGCAGTGACGACTTTCACGAGTGGAGGATGAGTGGAGGAAATGGTCTTCTGTTTCAGTGACTCAAAACAGGACTGCAAACACACTGGCGTGGAGGCTAACTTGGGGGAAGAGAGTAGACCAATGCCATGACCCCTGAGGGCACTGGTCAAAAGGAACTCCTCATTGTTAAGTTCACAGTCATGATTTCATTTATATCTACCTATGTTCATTGCATATTGTGTGTGGAGCTACCGTCCTCTATCTCTGGATTTTTGAATGTCATTTAAATTAGTTTGTTATGACTTTTATCCATACCGCAAAGTTGTCACTAATTCCTTGCTGTCCATTCTCTGGCATTATCTTCCTGGCCTAGAAACTCTACCTGCGAGAATTTAGAGACAAGTGGAGCTCCTCAGGGAGGTTTTGGTGATCATTTGCCCAATGAGATTTCACCTCAGCCACTCCCCAGTGCCACTCTTTCTCAAGATTTTATCAATGGCACAACTGGACACCAAGAGGCTGTGGCTGTAGTTAATAGTTGGTGAAGCTACATTTTTTTTTCTTCCAGAAAGGCTTTGTCTCATTCAGATCAGAATGTCATTAAATGCTGGGACTCTGAGTTCATGACCTGTGTTCAAAGCTATATGAATAGTATGGAAAGCAATAAGAAATTGGCAAATTATATTACATTTAAAAGATTACCTGAAATCCTGCTTTAATTCCACTGCAAATTGAAGTTCCACCCGAAGCTTGCTGTGGGAGATTTGCAGTGATCTTTGGATAGTCACTACTGTTAGTTATTTTTGTTAGATAATTTTGGATTCTGGCCTCTTGGTCGAATGTGACTAATCCAAACAGAGATTTCTTTTCAACAATTTGAGTCAAATAAAGTTCTGCTGCTTGATTCATCCGAATAAGACGGTCATCCTGTAAGAAATAGATGTATGAACAACCACAGAGTCTCTTTAAATCTTGACAGAACCTGGTCATAATTAATGGGCTTTTAAAAAACTTTACCTCTTTTGTATTATTGAAAAGTTTGAAATGTTCAAATAACAGTTTTTGGCTGTGAAAGCCTTCGAAGTCTATGCTTTTTAAAAATAGTTATCTGTTTGGAAGTTTCAGCTGAGAAAATGATTTTTTTTTAAAGTGCATGAGAAGATGCTCAATGGCATGTATTTTTTTATAAAGATATCTTTTTAAATATTTATTTATTTATTATGTATACAGTATACAATATTCTGTCTGTGTGTATGTCTGCAGACCAGAAGAGGGCAGCAGACTTCATTACAGATGGTTGTGAGCCACCATGTGGTTGCCGGGAATCGAACTCATGACCTTTGGAAGAGCAGGCAATGCTCTTAACCACTGAGCCATCTCTCCAGCCCCACGATATCTTTTCAATAACTTATTTATTTTTACTTTCATGTGCATTGGTGTACATATAAGTCTTGTAAGGGTGTCATATCTTGGAGCTACAGACAGTTGTGAGCTGTGATGTGACTTCTGGGAATTGAACTCAGGTCCCCTAGGAGAACAACCAGTTCTCTTAACCACTGAACCATCTCTCCAATCCAATGGCATGTATTTTTTAAAAAGCAACACAGTGAAGATCTCCAAAATGTCCATTAGTAAGGAATTACCTGAGTAGATTATGGAACACTGTTCACATGCTAAAACCTCTAGAAATCATGTCTGTGCTCTTGATGGGTTATCGCTGCTCCTAGAAGGCCTAGGTTATTAAAAACTCCAGTGCCAGGTGTGAGATACCCCTTATGAGTTTATGACCAAGGAGGTTCCAAAGGCCCGAACAATATAGGTCATTATCATTGCTTTTGGATGCCCCCCTCCTCAGCCCCGAACTAGGCAGCACACCTTGCTTTATTTAGGACACTGAGAAATTAAACTGGAGATAGGCAAGAAGCATCTTCTCTGTTGGATAGCTTCCATGTTGCCAGGTATACATAGGCCCCTGGGGAAAAAAGTCAACAGTTGTCTTATTCAGTGGTGGACCCTGAACACTACAATGTCCACCTGCCAAACAATGTGCCATATGACTGTTGTGGGTTTTTGATCAGATATGAGGCCCTTTCCACAAGAGAGAATTTGTGCTTTGTACTGCAAAAATGATGATGGGGTGGCCAAAGGCTGTACTGGGAAACCACCATCAGTTTTGCCAAGTGTACATATTACATAATTTATATTTAGTGAGTTATTCCTATAACACCCATCAAAGTAGTAGGGATATTTGTTGAGATGGAGAGAGAAGGGACAAGACAGGGTGGTGGGGTGAAAATTTTCAAAATACAGCCGGGCAGTGGTGGTGCACGCCTTTAATCCCAGCACTCGGGAGGCAGAGGCAGGCGGATCTCTGTGAGTTCGAGGCCAGCCTGGTCTACAAGAGCTAGTTCCAGAACAGGAACCAAAAAAAAAAAAAAAGCTGCGAAGAAACCCTGTCTTGAAAATAAAAAATTTTTTTTTCAAAATACATAATTATGAAACTATGACAAACACAGGCCACCTATGGCTCCATAGTATGACGGTGTCTTGAAAACAAAGAAACAAAACCCCCAAACTATTTAGTGTTACAGTTTTTGCCTAGCATGTAAGGGCCCTGGGTTCAATTCCCAGCAACACACACACACACACATACAGATACACACCACACTGCACCACACAAATTATTTTTCATGAAATCATTTTTTAAGAGGAGTGCTTATGGTATATTCCATAAAAGTTGGACTATAAAATGCCTAAAGTATAAATGCCTAAATTGTAACAGTTTTGTGGAGGAAAAACAAATACAGTAATGAAAATAAAGCTGGGATGCTACATTGAATGGTGAAATTACAGATTTCCTTTCACTTATTTCTTTTCTAGTAAGAACTGAAAGTTAAGGAGTAAAAATGGCCAATAATCTATAAACAATAAAGCAAAACTTCGTTTTTATCTTATTCTAGGCACTTATTTAGGTAAAACCATGGGCAGGTATTTATCTGAACATTAATGTACATATTTGAACATAAATATTTGTGTTAGTTTATTAAACCTAAGAATAAACTATAGTTTAATATTTAGCTTAAATACTTAATTTAAGGACTCCAGTAGAAAATGTCTTACTTTGTTCATGCTTCCAGATTTGTCCAGCACCAAGCAGACCACTCGCTGTTTGGACTTCAGCAAAGAAAATGTAGGTGGAGGTGGTGCTTCTACTCCTCCCATGGGCGAGGCATTCCGGAAATCAGCAGACTCCTCGATTACGTCCCACGTGCTTCTGCGGTTGCACATTTTATTTTGCAGGTTTGGAGCTTCCGTATTGTGGGTTTTTTCTGTGCAAAATTCAACCACCTGGGGAAAAAACAATGTAAACAGGATATTGTAAACACTTGTAAGGGATCACCTTCTTTTCCAGATATGAAGTTAGCCGCTGTGCATCCTGAACAGGATTTGTCTCCTGACGAGAATCACTTTGTTGTCAGACGTTTGGACACCGATTTTACAAGCCTGGAGTGGAGGCCAGGTGAAGCTGGACACACTCTGCTTTGGTCAGGTTTGTTTTTGGCATGTAATCCTCTCCGTCTTCATGCTTTGGCACATTATACTTGCCTCTTCCAACTCTAGTCTAAAAAGCATCCATTGGAAAGTTCTTGCGTCCAATTCAAGCACTAAGAGGCCCGGCCGTGCTTTGCTCCCCAGATCATAGGAGACTGGCTCCCTTCAGGGTGGTATGGCCACAGATAGAAGCTGTTGTCTGCCCTTCAGAAGCATCAGCATTAGCTCTATCTCTTCCTGCTTTGTATTAAAACTTTTCCTGGTATTTCTATCTCTCTCATTAAACTGAATTCTTCAAAAACAGTTCATCTTATAATTATTTATTTCTAGCTTTTATCACAGTGCTGGACTTGAATCTGATTGAAGGTCAAGGGAAAGAAATAATAGGTTGTTCAAAAATTTACATAATTTATCTCCTGGGTCTGAGTTTATGCTCTGAGTATATAGTATATTTAATCAATGCTATGATTATTAGAAATTACTATTATTTCAGATAAGATACATGTCTAACATACAATATTTTGTCTCCAAACAATGTTTTGTGTGATTAGCTTTTCTGTATATTTCAGGCACTTAGGCATCTCCTTATTATTCATGTACCTGGTAGGCAGTAGAAGTTACCTCTTGTCTTAGTTAGGGTTTCTATTGCTGTGAAGAGACACCATGACCATGGCAGCTCTTATAAAAACATTTAATTGGGGCTGACTTATAGCAGTAGAGGTTTAGTTCACTATCATCATGGCGCCACATGGTGGCTTGCAGGCAGAAATGGTGCTGGATAAGAAGCTGAGAGTTCTACAATCTTGAACCGAGGGCAATAGAAAGTGATCTGGGACACTGGCTGTGGCCTGAGCATATATGAGACCTCAAAAGCCCTCTCCGTGGTGACACACTTCCTCCAACCTACTCATACTAGGCTATATCTACTCCAACAAAGCCACACATTCTAATAGTGCCACTCCCTATGAGCTTATGGGGGCCAATTACATTCAAACCACCACACCTCCTGCTAGTCAGTGCCTTGGTGGTGTATGATGAGGAACCGGGAATGTGTGTTCTGAACATCCTCTTGAGGCACACAATTTCTTGTCTGTTTGGATGTTAAATCTTTTTGTTGTCCCAGTTTCAGCTGAGAAGTTCCTCAGTCATGTGGCAAATACATCCATGAGGCACATCCACTTAAAACCTGGGAAGACTATGGGGACATAAGAGAGGCCTGGAAAGATGGTTAAGAATATTGGCTGCTCTTGCAGAGGACCTTGCCTGGCACCCACATGGTGGTTCACAACTATCTGTAATACAGTCCCAGGGACTCTGACACCCTCTTCTGGAATCTGTGGGCACCAGGCACGTGTGTGGTGAGAGGGAAAACACCTGTTCACATAAAATAAATACATTTTAAAAATTTTTAGAAGAAAATTTAAAGACTGAATTTCTACTTGGATTTTCATCATTCCTTTGGCTTCATAAGACTTTTAAACTTTATTAGAAACTATAGAGCTTTATAAACGTCTGCCTTGTAAATATTTGTTGCCAGCAATTTGCTTCTTTTAATGAACCGATCTTGCATTTTGGAGATATATTATTTTGATTAGTTGTTTTGAATACTTTTATAAGTCTCATATTTTATATATTTCTACCTGCATAGAAACTTTTCTTTCCATCAACACTGGGATGCACAGCAAATAAATAAACATAAATACACAGTCTTCCCAGTAGCAGAAAACAAAGTAAACTGCTCATCTAACAAGAGATTAATATTCAGAATTTATGTTATTTGAGGGAAGAACTTGAGCAGTAAAGTCCACAAATAATCTGACTGAAAATCAGCAGATGATAAGAATAGACATTTAGAAGAACAGACCTACAAATGAATGATAGATATGTAAAAAAATTTAACACTGTTGTCAAGAAGTGTAGATTATAGCCACAGTGAAGGAAAAAAACCCATTTCCCTTTAGTTAGATGGCTATAATAAAAAAGCCAAATAAATGTTGAAGAGAATACTTGAAAGATAAACTTGCATTGTTGGTTAGGTATATGAATTAATTATGTCATTTTTAGGGCAAACTATAGAAGTTCCTCCAAAACCTAAAATAGAAATACTAGAAGACCCAAAAATCCCATAACTGGGTATATATAGGAATCACTGTAAGGAAATCAGTATGTTACTCTCTTGTTGCATGGCTGTGCTTCTCAAAATACAGAAATATAGTCAAGGTAAGTGTCCATCAATGGATGACTAGATAAATAAAATGTTGCATATATGGAACATTATGCCATAAAATGAATGAAGTACTGTTATTTGTTACGCATTGATGATCCTTGGGGACACTGTGCTAGCTGAAATAAGCTAGACACAGGAAGACAAGTATTTTACTCATCTAAGAAAAGTTAATCTAATAGAAGTAGAATCCAGTATGAGTTCACTGCAGCTGTGCAGCGGAGTGAGAAGGGGAGATGAGAGAGTTGGTTACTAGGTGTAAAATTTCACCTAGAGAGCAGGAGTGGTCTCAGTGTTTATATGGCGACAGTGTACCCAGTGGGTGATCACAGTTACCAAGGTATGAGGATTTCGAATATTTGCAACACAAAACTTTGTGTTTGAGGTGATGAATGTGACAGTTAGTTCTAGATGACTTTTACCTATTGTATACCTCTATTGGGATATCACACTTTAATTAATTTATTATGTGTCTATTAAAATTAGTTATTTTTATCAATTAAAGATTAGGAGAGCAAAAGATGGGCTAATCCTGAGAAAGAGCCAAGTAGTTATTTTCCAATTATATTATAAATCTTATAATTAAAGATCTGTTTGTGTCTAGTTTGTGTCAAGCACTGTTAAGACATTGTTTATAATGGCCCTTATAAACCAACAACGATAACAATGCAGACTGTATATCTTAGTTTCCACTTAAAGATGAGAGAACAAGGGGTTAAAAAGATGGCTCAGCATAAAGAGCATAGAGGACCTGGGTTCAGTTCCTAGCACCCATGTGGTGGCTCACAACTGTCTGTAACTCCAGCACCAAGACACTGAATGACCATGGCCTCTGCAGGCTCCAGAAATCACACTCACCTTGTACACACCTACATAGATACACAGGCACACAGACACACACAATTAAAAACAAATATTAAAAATAGATGAGAAATAAATCTCCGATTTATCAGTTTTCCCTCAATGACAGCGGAAGAATGGGTTTCTGTACTGAGACCGTCTGACTCCCAAACACCTTGTCACTCATCAGGCTGTAAGTGTAAAGATTTTTAGATCGAGCTCAGTGAACTTGTTGCTATGATAATTTTATAACAGCAACGCTTTGTAAACGTTTGGTAAGCTTTAGTGAGAAGAAAATGGAAATTTTAGAATGTTGAAAGCTCCACTTGTTACTCTAGACACAAGACCAACAGACAGAAGCGAAGGGAGAGGCACTCTATGGTGGCATCATAAGGGTCCCTTGAGAAGAGTACCCTGCGCATATGAAGCAAAGGCGCAGGCCACAGGCTGCTTCTAAGGAGCGGGATAATTCACAGACACATCACACACAGCCTGGAGAAGATTACCTTGAATCAGTCCTAATGTTAATTTTCTTCCACCCTTCTGCAGTTTATTTCACAAGGATTCTTCTTCTTCTTCTTTTTTTTTTTTGAGAAAATAAATAGGAAGTACTTACAGAACTGAGATTTTGCATGAACATTATGGATTCCGGAACAGTCTGAGATTTGTTTGGGATAAATTTACATTTGGGTTCATAGAGCCCTGTCTTTGAGTCTCGCCGGCATTTTCTTGTCACGCAGCTGCCTCTCTGACATTCATCGACCACATTTTTGCCAGTAATACCAGTGGAGCATCTATGACAGAAAAATCAGATTACTGCCCTGGTTCTGGGTGTTGAGTCCAGGGCTTGTGCGTGCCAGGTCAACCCTCTGCCATGTGTCTACTTCTTCAGCCCCCATTTTTTTTTAATTCCTCCATTTTTTTTCAGTAGTGGAAGTCAAATCTAGGCAAGTCAACACCCTAAAATATCTCTCAGTGACAGCATCGTGTCACTTGATCATCGTGTACCAAGAACTCCATTTTGACAAGAGTAGATACAGGGCTTTCCCCGTCCCTACCGTGGTTTACATGGAGTCAGCATTTTCATCCTTTACTGTTATTTTTTCGGTATGTGTATGTTTGGAATATGTACTCATTGTGCATGTGTACGTATGTGTATGTGTGGAGGACAGAGTATAATCTTAGTATAACCTTAGTGGTTATCCTCAGCCATCCAATTTGCCTCCTTTGAGACAGAGTCTTCTTGGCCTGGAACTCACCAGTTAGGCTAGACTGACTGGCCAGCAAGCCCCGGAGTCTTCCTTTCTCTCCCTCCCCAGTGCTGGGACTACAGACATGCACCGCCATGCCAGCATGCTTGTGTGACTTCCGGGAATCAGTCTTAGTTTCTCACTAAGCAAATGCTTCATAGTCTGAGCCACCCTGCTGAGAACCACACATTCAATTCAGATTCCTTAAACATTCCTTGCTTATTAATATTGTCAGTAAACCTATTGTCTTTCTATGAGTTAAAAAAAGATAGTAATTCTTATATTACAATATTATTGTAAATATTAAATGAACTAAGAATTTTTTTTTGGCGAGTGAGGTGAGTCAAAATTATGCTTAAAATCCTCTTAAATATTCACATATGATGCTTACCAATGGGAAATATTATTGTAAGGGTGTGACTTTGTTTATGATACATTTGTTTAACTCTATGAAGCTGTGATACTTTGATGGTCTAATAAAGAGATGAACAGTCACTAGTGAGGCAGGAGAGAGAAATAGTTAGGGCTGGCAGGTAGAGAGGATAAATAAGAGGAGAGATCTGGGAGTGAAAGGTTTCTGGTAATAGAAGAGGAAGGAAGAGAACTTCAGGGGCCAGCCACCCAGCTACACAGCAAGTCACGGAGTAAGAGTAAGATTTATAGAAGGAAGAGAATAGGAAAAGCCCCAAAGCCAAAAGGTAGGTGAAATAGTTTAAGTTAAAAGCTGGCAAGAAACAAGCCAAGCAAAGGCTGGGCCTTTAAAAGAAATAATGAGCCTCCATGAGTGATTTATTTGGGAGCTGGATGGCGGGCCCCTCCAAAGAGCAAAAACATCCAACAACATATTGGATGCCAACGTGGCATTTGGATTTCCATAGTGCTTGAGAAAACTTCTAAAAAAATATGGCTCCTTTAAGAGCCTCTGCCTGCTGGCAAGCTGTTGAGCAGCCAGTAGGTTAAGTAGGAACAAAAAACTAAGTGAAAATGCCTGCCACAGCACAAGCACCGGCATTTTAGAGATCTAGGAAGCTTGGGGGCAGTTCTTGGCATCTTCCAACCAGGACAAGGGTTTTAGGACTGGCTTTCATGATGGGAGCGGGCAGAGTCAGCCAAGAGAGCCAAGCAGAGAATCCGGTGTGGGTTAGTAGTTTATATGTTTGCTCACACAGTCAAAAAAGGATAAAAGGTATGCAGTACAAAAGGTCCAGATGGGACAGACCTCTGAACTAGGTCACAGTGTGTTTAACGATTGTGTGTAGGCTTAAGAAAAGAAAGGGCATAGTCATAGAAAAAAATGAATAGTTTAAAAAATGAAATAAAATATTTAAAGAGACAGTAAAAGTAATATAACAGAAATAAGCTATGCAAAGATAGAAAATACAGAGGGAGTCTGGATCCTGTGTGTTCTTGTGTTGATCTTGAATTTTTTGATTGCTGAAAAGCAAAGGACAGCTGAGAGAGCTGGAACTAAAAGAGGGACTGTCGAGATAAGCCAGCCTGGATATTTAAAGAAAGCCTTAACTTAAAAAAAAAGGCAAAAATTTAATTGTCAAATGGAAATCAAAAATGCTTTGGAGAAGCAGTTTTGCTTTTGTTTCCACAGGAAACAAGAGGATGTGGATTCCTTCAAAACTGATATGGATCAGGTTTGATCTGGGAAGATCACCTGAATCTTGACAGGTCCCAGTACCTATAGCTATCCCAAGATGGGGACACAAGGATCAGTTGGATATATATTATCACATAATGGTGCGGCTTGAATATGTGATGAGCTGTTTGAATACCTGCCCACTTGCGCTGCCCAGTTCAGAGAGCTGAAGCCATAGGCAAGAAGGTGTAGAATCAATTTACCTTGTTGCTTCGAGAGCATTCTTTCCGTTCTTTCCAGATATGTAGAAGGGCCGGTCTGTGTTATATTCATCAAATACTCCCCACCGGAGATGGGCCCACTCATGGACAAAGACTCTGCCTGAGAGAGAAGATTGTCATCTGTAAAACTGTAGTTAAAATATTTGAACTCAGTTTCCTTTTATTTTCAATCATTTTGTCCATTTCCAAAATTGAAATTGTTACAAACTCTAGAAATTTATACTTTTTAGTAGCTCAAAAATTCAAATATGCCAGTTACAATAAGTGACCGATTATATTTAAAAGCTTGGATGCACAAAGAGGTGGAAGGTAGCTGGCATATTTTCAAATAAAGGTGTTACTTAATGTTTGCTTTCCTTAAAGTCTTAGAAATCCACATTAATGGTGGTGGTTTGCTTTTCCCTAGTGGAATATATCAATATATACAGAATAGATATTTCTACCTCGGGGTCCATACATAAGCAGATTGTCAGTCAGTAGGAAGTTTGGAGTGAAATGTATGTACTGTCCTCTGTCTCCACATTGTCTATAATGAAGTGTGTAGGGCTCATCTCCATATTTCAGATAAGGATCAGCAACTATGACGTCTGCCTAAAATGCAGAACAAAACCAGTCAGATTTTAAGATCATTAGAAACAAGAGACTCTACAAATAAGAACTGTCTTAAATCTAAACTGATCAAAGTTATGGCTGTGTTAAGTGGGTTAAAGTGCTTTCTGTTTATGAACAAGGACTGGAGTTCCAGTCCCAACACCCGCTTAAAGCTGGGTATGGTGACCCATGTCTGTAACACCAGTAGTAAGGTGGTAGAAACAGGCAGAGTACCAGAGACAGTTCTCCAGCTGGTCTAGCTAAATTGATAACTCTCAAATTCAGTAACACATCCTGTCTTAAAAAATTATAGGTCGAAAGTAAATAGAGGAAGGCACCAAGTACTGACCTCTGACTCCTACATGAGCCTGTGTGCACACATATATACACACACACTCACATCCACTACACAAACATGCACACACTCTACACACAGGCATACACATTACACACACATGCACAAACATGAGGACATGTACAGAAACATAGCTCACACACATGTATACACATATATACACTCAACAAAAGAATAGTTATGTTACTAGTTACTAACTCAATGATTAATAATTACTAAACCCCATATGTATTCATTTGGAAAAGGCATAAGAAACAGTTTAGGGCCTGGATGTGACACCTACTTTGTCATATGATTCTCGTTTCGGCATTAAGTACTCGGATTTTGACTTCCAGGTCATCGGGACCAAAATGCTTACATTCCTGAAATAAAATCTTCCTTTGCTGGCTTCAAACAGGTAAGTAGAGGCTTGGGTTATCATTTCCTGACAAAATTAAAAGTGCCTTGTGGTAAGAATGTCAAAACAAAATGAGCAAGAATGTCTCTACCTAAACCAGAAGAAATAGATGGGGCCTCTTCTTCCTCAAATATGCTTGCACGGGGTAACTGAAAGAGTAGAATGCATCTTCCTGAATCTCTCCAGTCTACGAATTCAATCCCATGTGCCCAAGGCCAACTCTGATTCTCACTTGCCCATCCCTCCAGCTAGCGGTTAGGGTGGGGGTGGGAATGAAGTCTCTGGGTGAGGTATAAAGGTCATTATGAGCAGAAGTCTGTAGGCAAGTTGTTTATTTAATCAATTTCTTTAGAATTGGGTTGTTTGAAAAAACTGGTAAAAGTCTGGCAACACTTGTATTTGATGTTATTAGAATTATTTTTGTTTTACTTGTAGTTATCAACTAAGTAGAGTTTATACATATAAGACTAGATTATAAAAACATATCTTTTGAAAACTTCATGTATAAATATGAATTTACATCACTCCCATCCCCTCCAACTTGCCCCATAACCTCCACTCTCCCTACCAAATTCATGACCTCCTTGTTAACTATCATAGTTACATATATATATACACACACACATCCATCAGAATATTAACCTACTGCATCATTTTAGTGATGGAGTCCACGAAGATATGCAGTAATGACAGCTGGTGTTTCTAAGGCTACACATTAGAGAAATTAATTTTCTGATGGAGGTTAAGTTCTTAATCAAGGTCATATGAAAAATATTGCCTATAAGTAACTGGCTGTTTCTATCTGCTATTCTCATGTTATCCCATGGTTTCTCTTTATAAACAGCTTGGGAATTGTCCCACAAATTCCTGCAGTGTATTACTCAGTTTCTGGGTACTGTTTCTCTGTGTACTGATAGAAGGATGACTTCTTCCTACGCTATGTTTTCTTGTATATAAAACAAGCTCCCATAGTCCCATCTTTGTATCATAGCCTGACTGACAAATCAAATTGGCCATATGAAGTCCTTGTGGAGAGATCACAGGCAGAACATTTACAGAGAGGAATTGCAGGTATCTGGTCTTGCTAGATCTAAGTCCTTCAAAGATTTATGATGAATTAGGGTGACATTGCAGGTGTCTGTCCTTGTTATATCATAGTCCTTCAAGAGATTAATAACGATTTAAGCAGCACTTCCCTGTTCTAATTCAAAATAGCCATTCATGCTTTGTTTACAACTTACACACCAACTTCTGATGCAAGATCTAACTAAGCTCAGTTTACTAACTGTTTACCTTCAGCCCTGGATTTTATGTGAATAACAGATAATTGACCAGCTGGTTAGCTAACCTAGTGTGAAAAGGATTTAGCATTACCCTGAGCTCTATGGTGGAAACGAGCTCCGCAACAGTCAGAGCTATGAAACAGTTGCCCAGTCCCTCAGTCATGAACAAAAAGTTACTAGGTCCACTCCCTAGGTTCTGAAATGGCTGAAGGGCAGAGAATGGATTCTTAAATCTGACAGGTTCCCTTTTTATGCAGCCAGCTTTTGGTGAAACTGCTGATACAGATCAGCGCCGCTTGCTTCCCCTTTCTTTACTCAGGTTCCCGTGGAAAAGCAGCGTTCCGGTGCTTTTCTTCTCCTCTACCTCTGTTTTACGGACCACAAAATATTAGCCTACACTATTAGTTACACTTAAGAAATGTAAAATAATGCATGTATTCTCTGCCCTTTTCTTAGATCTGTTAATGGTTTAGGTTCCTCCCTTTGTAATCTGTAGCAGCACCCCAGCCCCTTTAGGAGGTAAGGGAACCTTTACTGATGCAGCTGCTATGGACTGCAGGTTAGCTGGTAAGTTTTGCTACTGTGACTTTTATCATTATCCTCAAAGAATGCCCGTGTCCCTGAGAATTTGCCTTGTAGTTTTTTTTTTATTACTAACAAGTTGTTAATGAATGGATAGATGTATACTTGGGAATTTGTGTCGGGAATAATAAAGAGCACACGGAATGAAGAGCATTGGCCGCTGCGTGTGTGAAGTGTACTCCTTCCTCCACTCCCGGGAAGTTTTTCTCAGAGGAACCTGGGTAGGGGCTGGGAGCTGGTCTCTCAGCCCTTCTATGCTAGGATTGCCCAAGCACTAATAATAAAGATAAACAAGAATGACTTGTTTCAGCTGTCTGCTTGCTATGATCCTAAAAGCCAATCGTTCCATTGATAGAGGACAAAAATCCTGTGTTCCTAACCACCATGGAGATTTTGAGAGGATCTAAGAACAAAGTACATTATTCCACAAATGATTTTATTATGAAATGCATTTAAGAACTAACCAACTTCAAACATGTCTAAGGCTTTCTTTAAGGTAAGATAGGTAAAGATTTTAGCATAAGGCAGCAACTTCTGGGGTTTAAGAGTATATTTGCTGTATAGACTTTGTAAAAACAACAGCATTAATATAAAATATGAGAACATTTCTCCACTTGCTCTAAATCTATTACCTTAAATAGTTAATAATTTATTTAGAGCTTGGACACTGATTTTAATGTATAATAAAAATATGAAGCTAAGCAGATGCTCATCTTGACTATAGGTTATATTCCAGATATGACAAACACAGTCATAGCGGCTTTAGTAAAAAGAATTACTGACATGTAAATATGAAGATAATAAAACCCTTCTTACCTTTATGCTTTGGATGAGTTTTTCATCTTCTCGTACACTGGGGTTAATTGCAACGACCACTCCCTCGTACCCATTGTTACTGAGATGGACCATAGAACTTTGCGCCTCCTGCAGGAGATGCAGGCTGAGGAGCAGAAGGACCTTCAGACCTGGTACCATGTTTGCACATGCTAAGCGAGGTGGCCGCGCAAGGAGGGTATTTATGTGTCTGCTCCACTCAGGAATTTGGATGGCGACCAGAATATTTACATATATTTGATAGAGAGAAATACTGATATCAGTTGGTGACCTGCCTTATCCAATCTCCTTAGCCATTAAGTGACATGGGTTTTGTGGTGAATGCGTGTGTGGTAGTTTCTAAGACAGTGGACAGTGCGGAGCTGCTACAAAACATTGCTAGTCAAGCTCTGTTTGCATGAGTTTGCTTGTACAACTGTGAGTCTTCCAGTGCTAAAGGGGGGAATGAAGAGTCCCTGAACCTGCCAAAGACTACCAGAAAAACTGGCTAGTGGGAGGGAAACCACGGCTTTTTGCCATGTTTCTGCCTCCAACTGTTGATGATATTCCACTGTGCCAGCCCAGGCTTGCTGCGGCTTTTCCCGTAAAATCTTTCCGTATTATCTGTCCTGGAGCATCTAAGTGTTTTTTCAGCTTCCCTGAGTCATTGTTATTGTATTTTTTAAATATGTTTTTTTGAAATGTCTTATGGCCTTTCCTGTGAAATCTTTCCATATTATCTGTCCTGGAGCATCTAAGTGTTTTTCAGCTTCCGTGAGTTATTGTATTTTTTAATATATTTTTTGAGAGATTCTACATTTTATTACAGGACAAACCACACCACCAATTTAAACACGACCAGGTCTCCAGGTCAAATATTCAACCCCATCTGGTAGGACTGATGGATGGCCACGCTCCCATTTACACTCTCAGTCTTGCCTTGTGTGACTCCTGCAGGTCCAGCTTCGCTCTTCTCCAGGCACTTCTCTTGGATTTGACCTGATTGTCTCACCAGTTTTTATCCAAACCCATTGAGGACTAGGACGATTTTGCTTTTGTTTCTTGGTCGGGAATCACTTGAGTGTGAGAGGACGCGGTGAGAAGCCGAGTTAAGTGTATATGGCCAATGATGAAGGAGGGAGAGAGAGGAGCCTGTTACTGTAGCCTGTGTCCACCGATTAGACTCATTTTCACCTGCATGATGTATCTTCTTGCTACATTTAAAATTTTCTTGTTAACAAGAGATTATTTTCCTGAGTTTAGCTTCTCTCTGAGCCTCGATTTCCCTAACTTAGAACAAGGACACTGAAATCTGCTAAGAGACATTCTGTGAAGATTTAATGGCGTAGCATGTGAAGCTGGGTTTGGGGCCGTAGACTGCTGGGTTATAGGCGGAGTAGACCCTGTATCTTAAAGCCAGAAACAGCAAGAAAAAAATAACGATGGGTTTCCTGGGGTTATCCGCTATTAAGTGGTCAGCCCTGAAATCATATACATATAAGTAACACTAAATGGGCCAAGCAGGTTATATTATATATCTAGGCATCTATATAATAATATAAAAATAATAATAAAGAAAAAGAAACTGTGATGTTGAGAGGGAGCAAGGGGGTATATTTAAATAAAAAAACTTGAAGAAAAAGAAAACTGTATATGAAAGCAGTTTTTGTAAGTTCTGTGCAAACAAGGTCCTGAACACAGCAATAAATGTATATTGGCTGTTTATACTCATTCCTCTTTATTATTGTGAGAAAAGATGAGTGTTTCTTTGTGTCCTCTGGCCCCTGCCAGTGCTCTGTTCACCAGCAACCCAGCGCTGAGTGATGCCGGCGTTGTCCCCAAAGAACTCGGAGACTTGTTATGTGGGTTAGACTGGAATACAATAAGAAATGAAGAACAGAGCAAGCAGACTTCTGTAAGGGAATTATACCTCACCCCTCGGGGGCCCAGGATTGGGAAACTTTCAGGATGGAGGGAATCAGAAAGCCGTTGGGAGAGGACCATTCCTTAGAAACTGGAAGCCCAGAGAAGCTCATTTGTCCGAGTGAGTCTCAGAGGTGGGGAAATTTGGTATTTGGGGGGTGATTCAACCATAGAGTCTATATATTTAACACATATGCTGCATACCCTGATTTTCAGAAGTTAGACCAGAGGAATTAACCTTGAAAATCATTCTGAGTAGTTTCTTTGTTTGCTGGCTTCTATTTAAACAAAGATTCAAGAGACTGTAGATCGTTATGACGGTTTAGCATGAGGAAAACCAGACTTTCTGTTTTGTTTAAATATTGGGCCAAATAATGGACTTCCTTAGGCAGGTTTGCGTTAAAGTCTCATCTGTCTAAGTCTTTTAAAATAACTTAACTATTGATTCTGGTCAAGTTGCCAGCAGAAACCTTCCAATACCATCCTTCAGTTGGAGCTGAGCTCAAAAGTGGACAGCAAACTTAAAGGCCATGTTGTCACAATATCCTGGAAGTGGGATCTCTGTGTTAGTGACTTTATTAAATCACCTCTGTATTCTCTCCTGGATGCTTGCTTTGAAATGTGCTTCCCTACCTGGTCACACCCAGGATTCAAGACTAGAGATGACAACAAATCAGCTGTATACTTCCTTTTTTGTTTTTGAGACAATCTTTCATGTAGCCCAGGTTGACCTCTAACTTGCTATGTAGCTCAGGATATCTTTGAATTCTTGATCCTCCTGCCTCCTTCCCCGAGTGCTGGACTACTGAAGAGCACCGCTGTGCCCAGCAGCCCATCTTCGGAGAAGTCAAGTAGAACTGAGTCATGTATTTTCCAGTCCAGAATCAAACCCTCTCATTGAGAACTTAAAGTCTTATTTCAGTGAAAACCTTCTAAACAATACTTTTTGGGGTGCCTCTTTGGTTCTTTGTGCACCTGACTGCTTTTGTTTGTGTATTGGAAGCCTCCTTTGGTAACAGCTAATTTTAGGTGACGTTTAACCTGGGCTCTGGGATGCCCAGGTAACTGCTGGAATGCTGTCCCTGGGGTTATGTACAACAGTAGACCTGAGTGAAGATTGCCTTCCCTCATCCAGTGTCTTGAGAACCCATGAAGAACACAGCGCAAGAAAATGGACTGGAGAGATGGCTCAGCGATTAAGAGCACATACTATTCTTGCAGAGGTCCTGGGTTCAGTTCCCAGATACACGTCAGACACTCCCGTCCATTTTTAACCCTAGCTCCAGGGAATCCAATGCCGATGGCCTCCCTGAGCACCCAAACTCATTTGCATACACCCCTACATACACATACATAATTAAAAGTAATAAAAAGAAATTTTAAAAACATAGAGAGCCGGGCGGTGGTGGCACATGCCTTTAATCCCAGCACTCGGGA